AGGGAATTCAGTCCACGGTTTTCTGGCTCTAACACCATGGCAGAAAGGCATGAAGAAGCAAAGACACTTAGTTCACGGCAGCCAGAGAGGAGAGTGGGGAAGAGTACCCAGAAGAAAGGACCAGGAACCCTGTGTCATTTCCAAGGTGATGACTGCATGACCCACCCAAAGGTATTCACAAGTGTGTGCAGCCAATCTCCCAGGTGGATTCCCGAAGCCAATGGAGTAGACACCCCACCCTAACCACCACATCTGCCTACGTATTCTGTGATGGGAACTCAGTAGCCCTCTGCATGTCAAGTGGCCTCAGGGACTAACAGCACCCAAAGGAGCACGAGCTCTGCGATAGTCCTCCTGGCTGTGTACATCCTCTCTTCCCTCTCCTACTTGGCCAGGGCAAGTGCTCAGGAAAACAGCAAACAGAGCAGGTCAAAACAAACAGAAACTCATAACGAAACAGACCAAACATGGAGGAGACCCCTTCCATGAAGAAATGGATTGGATCCCTTTCCATTTTAGTGTGGGCTGGTCTTAGTGTCTCTTAGTTCTCAAGTGACAGTGTATGAGTTCTGAGCTTGACTCATGATGGGCATTCAGCTTCTTCCTGACCCTAGAGTCACTCACTGTGAGGGAAGACAGCCACCATGTTGTAAGGTCCTCCAGCAGCCCCATCAGAAAGGACCGAGGGGGCAACTGAGTTCTCTCCTCCTGGTGAGTTAGCTGTCTTAAAAGTCGAACTTGAAACTGAAAGTGTTCAGATAACTTCGGCTCTGGACAATATCTGACTATAACCTCGTGAGAGACCCTGAGGCAGAACCACCCAGCTAAGCTACTCTCAAATTCCTGACCTAGAAAACCCTTGCTGACTTAGAAAATGCTTGTTGTTTTGAGTCACTAATCAGGGAAGTCATTTGTTACACAGCCATAATGAATGCATACTTAAAGCACACTTTCCATGTCTCTGCTTTTTCCTAGCATTCCTATCACTTGGATACCAAGGGCACCGACCTTGTTTTTGAGCTGTGAGATTTGGCTGTAGATAGGGTGGACACTGGATTTTGTCCTACTGTAATTATCAACAGCATGCCCTTTCCCTTTCACATGCATCCTGGTTTGACAGCAAATGTCACAGTTATCCTACATATAGATAATTTGGCACTCCTCCCCCACCTCAGTACTGGCTACCAAACCCAGGACTATGCACGTACTAGGCAAGCACTGTGTTACTGAGCTTTATCTGCAGCCCCTTTTGTTTTATTTTGAGTCTTGCCAAATTGCCCAGGCTGACCTTGAACTTACAATCTGCCTGCCTCAGAATCTTGAGTAGCTGGGCTTATAAGTGTGTGTAACCTCAACTGGCTAAATCTGTCTTTGATGTGGTGTTCTGGAGGCAGGACAATCAGACAGGCAGGCACACATACTTGGCAAAGTGTCTTAACTCTGTTCCACTAGGAAAGATGGTTGTGTTGAGTGAGTGCTGAGTTTCCAGTGATGGATAGTAACCTCTGTATGGCAGCAGCCAGAGCAGCCAAAGCAAAAAACTGTCTCAGGCATGAAGTTGCACAGGTTTCTCTGAGCACCCTTATGGCACAGTGTCACACATCAATCTGATCTAAACTGCCATTTTGAAAGTTGCAAGCCACTTGTTTTTCCAGCTGCCAAAGAACCTGCAAGCTTTTGCTAATGGCTGTATATTAAGATGCATCAAAAGCTAAGTATCTTAGGTCTTAGGTGGAGAGACTGAAGTACTGCTACTGCACGTATTTCTGTTCCCAGAAAGACTGTGCAGGTTCTTGGGGGCCAGGAGAGCAGGGTTGGTGGGCTCAGGGAAGGCTTGAAGGCACTCAGGGACAAGTTGAGGAGTTCGTATCTGGCCTCCAGCAGGTTTCCTCTGGGCCAGATCTACTTTACAATAGAGGCAGGATCTACTTTACAATAACTACAGGAAAGGTCATTCCAAGCCATACATCCATTATGAAACTCTGCCTTAAAGTCTTGGGTGGCGAATTAGGCCATTTACCTCATATTCTTTGCTGTTGGAATTGGAAAATAACTGGACATGGGTCTGTTCTCATGTACTTTAATACAGTTCCCACATCATCTTTACTGTTTTACACAAATCAACCCCAATTTCTTTAACGTGCCTCTTGGGTCCTATTCTCGCTTTCTTTAATCGCATTTGTTGTTCTCCTTTGGACCCAGTCCAGTTTGTTGATTTCTCTTAAACTGAAGAGATCATATGTGGTCTCAGAGCTCCAAGAAGGGTCTGCATGAGGCCACGGAGAGCACAAGGCTGCTTTATTGTGCCTGGTGGGGTCTCCTCACAATTGGGATTGTTAACCCTCTTGTGGAGGCCTGGCCTAGTTTCTTTTCTGGAGATGAAGAAGAATAATTCTGGGAGGTTCTGAGGAGGTCAGCTACTCAGATGGGAATGGCTCGACTTCCATCCCACCCACTTCCTGGTCTCGCTTGTGGCACATGCAGCCCTCCCTCACCACAATTACTTCAATCTACTTCCTGGATCTCAGTTTTCTATGCTGCTTTTTTTTTTTCTCTCAGTTTTGCATCCTGGTGGGCACTTTATCTAGAGCTCCTTTTTCTTGTTAACCCCTCCATGAACTCAAGCAGAAAAAAAGAAAACAAAACTCAGAAGTCCTCAGGCTGGGACCAATTGTTCTTCCTCCTACACTAAACTCTGCTATGAGATCTGATGTAATTTTAGCTTTTTAGCAGTTTCCAGTCATTTGGAATTTTTTATCTCCACCAGCTCCCCACACAATAGTATCCATTGCCGTAGCCCACCAGCAGTTATCAGCAGGGTCAGTCTGCTGATGCTCCCCTGGGTGTGCCTTTCCTCTCATAGTCCTCAACTATGCTCACAAATGATTCTTCATCTTTATTTTTCTAGGATGGGCTGAAAAACAAAGAACCAAAATTTGAGTAAACATCCCCAAAGATTAAGGGCACAATAGTCCCTATCTTCAAAAACCTCATATAATACAAAGAATGGCTTTGAGCCTAAGGAAAATAATCCTAATAGACAGTTGCTGCCCGGCAGCCACTCTGGGTCTCCAAAATCTCATCACCCTCCTGAACCCCATTATGACTCTTCCCCTTCGGAGGGAAGGAAACGAGCCTCTGAGAACTGCCTTGCCCACAAACGGAAAACTGAGTAGTGGCTTAGCTGGGATTGGGGGCTGAGTCTGTCTGACTCCAAGGATCTTTGATTTCATTTCCTCCCCACTAATGTTGGACTCAAAATCAATAGTTGTATTTGGTCCCTTCCTTTCTCCCTTGGCCATACTCTTCCAACTGGCCACCCAGTTCTTTCAACATCCTGTCCTCTATGTTAGATAATCATAGTATCTCTTCTTGAAGACAGTCACGTAGGCCGAGGCTCCTGATGCAGTCTTTCCAGCTACTGCTATGCAAGGTACTTATAAAAGCGGAGTTTTTTTGTTTGTTTGTTGTTTGTTTGTTTTTGGTACTGGGGATCAAACTCAGGCCCTTGTGCTTGTGAGGCAGGCACTGGAAATACTGAGCTAAATCCTCAGACCTAAGTAAGGTACTTGTAAAAGAAAGACCTGATAAAATGTGGGTGGGTCCTCACTGCTTTTTGAAATAGATGGAATCTTCTTCATGTGACACAAAATTTGGGGGTATTAGACCGTAACCAGAGTTCTCTTTCTCACTCTCACCAAACATCTGCAAAATATTTAACCTTTTGTGATTTTCCATGTGCTTCTCCCAAGGTCAGAAAGGCTCTAATGTCATTCCTCTGTGATGTCTTCTCTACCACTTTGGGCAAACTCTTTTGCCTTCACAGCTCTGTTTAGTCACTGCTAACTTGCACTTACCTCTCGGTGTTGTTGTGGTGCACACCTGTCTGCCTTAGGATATAGAGATCCCCTTGGTGGGAGGCTGTCTTGCTCACCATTATATATGATATCTCCATGCCAAGCCCAGAGCCTGGCAAGGAGAAGGGACAGCAATTTCTGGTTGAGTGAATAAATGAGCCAGTGAGCAAGTAGATTCCCACTTGGCCCTTTAATAATTTTCCTTTCTATACAGTTTTCCAATCCAGGCGCAAGAACAGTGATTCCATGTAAATGTATTTATTGCTGAGGTCCAAGAAGATAAATGGACAATATTTCATTTCTCTCCCCAACCATCATCCCAATAGCCTCCCTAATTATTCCAGTTAAGGCCCATTACCATTGCAAATCAAGTTAGAACTGATTTTCACAGAGCAGCAATCTGTACTGGGACATGTTTTATTTTCTAGAATCCTTGATTTTTAACTAAGTCTATTACTTCTGGTCCTATTTTTAAATTTAATAGAAACAAAATGGAACTCTCTTAAGGCTCCAAACAACCTCAAACTATGTTTTGTTCTGGTAATCAGACAATGGATAAGGATTGTGGTTACTGGAGGATACTGCCAACAATGGAAAAAAAATAAATAGGAGCCTGAGTGAGAATAATTTGAAACCAGAAATGTGTTCAGTAATAACTTAGAAAGTCACATAGACAAGAACCTGGACACAAAATCAAATTTGATTTTCAAAAAATGTACAATCTCATATATTAGAGAGCCCCTTCACCTGGTGGAATGCCAGGAAGGCTTACAAAATCTGCTCTTGGGAAATCAAAATCCTGAACCATAAGAAAAATACTGTCTCTCTTGGAGGCAAGATATAGTCTCGTGTGCCATATGGAAAAGCAGCCCACAGTGGTAGCATCCATAAAGAAGGGACTGGCACAGTATGGGAAAAGCCATCCCAGTGGCCTAACCCTTGCAGGCACATTTCCAGCACCATAGAAGGAACTATGGCATCACTTTGGGTGGACATGTTGGAAAACTGGATTTCACATCCAATTCCATGGCACTGAAATACCAGAAGCATGATCCAATATTATGGTCTTGTTATTCAAAACCTATCCACGGAGGAAAGAAAGTACCCTGCTTATTCATTCCAAAACAGAATGCTCCACCTTACCCCATGTTGGCCTTCTTCATGAGTATCAAGCTTAAATCTGCCAGTGCAGTCCTGATGGCCAGCACCAATGATCTCCATCCTGGAGAACAGGGACAGGGGTCCAAGCATGAAGTCTACAGATCTGAACCCTACTTTCTTCTTCTGCTTAGATTTATGGCACTTGACCTATTTTATGTCTTTTTTACAGACCTACTTTTAAGTTACATTGTAAAAAGTGACACAGTCTCTTGAACCTCTGCCAAAGAAGAGGAAGAAATACATGCTCAGCACCTACAGATACACATCCCAGGAAAAAAGGCTGCAGCAACTTTCCACAAAGGGGCGTTTGTTTTCACACACACACCCTCCACAAGGCCAAAAAGCTTGTCAGAGAATACTTTAAAAACTATGAACAATCCTTTCAAAAATAAAAATACATATATGTGTTTTTAATTTATTAGAAGATTATTTTCTGGAAAAATTCCTGCAGAATAATGTCAGTGCTTCTTGGTGGAATGCCTCCTCTCCCAGACAGAAGACAGGCAACTCATGTATGGGTCATGGGAGATTCAGATGCAAAGGCCCCCCTAAACTCTGGTTAGTGTCACTTTAATCAAAGGCTGCATATCTGAGCAGTTATCCCACAGTCTGCCTGTGGAATAAAAATTACATATCTGTTTTACAAGAGAGATTTATTTTTTTGGATAGTAAAGGATCAGACATCCAGTTCCCAAGTGCTAGTTAGGCCTGCCCACAATTAATGCTATGATAATGGTCATCACCATTTAATGAACACTTATTATGGCCAAAACACTTCACATATGGCATGTATAAAATTTTCTATTGTCCCACAAGGCATATTTCTGTTTCCTGTTAGAGATTTTAAAAAAAAAGAAAGAAACTAAGGCTCAGTGATATTAAATGAAGTACTCAAGACCTCACAACTAGTAAGTAGAAATCAAAATTATGACTGAAACCCAGGTACACCTAATTGCAGAATTTACATGTTCTCCCCCAAACCCAGATTGCCACTAATAAACATAAATTCTACCCAGATTTATACTTAAACTCTATAACCATCCCACTGGCAGTACGCTCCTTTGTTTCTGCCTCTTCCCACTTATAAGTGGGAGGATTCTTTAACACTGATAGATTTTCAGGTTGACCAGGAATGGAAAGATACTGAGTGCAATGTGGTATACTGGACTGGATCTGGGAACAGAAAAAGAACGTTGGTGGTAGAAAAGAGTAAAGCAGGAATAAAATCTGGAGTTTAGTTAACAATAACATACATTTCTTAGTTTTGACAAATGTACCATGGTATTTTAGATGTGGACAATAGGGGACAATGGGTAGGGACATAGAAGTACTTCCAGTACTATTTTTGTGACTTTTCTTAAATATGAAATTATCCCAGAATTTAAAGGGGAAGTATAAAGGAAAAAACAAAGTAGTTCTCCTATGGTTTTCTGATTACCTAGGCAACTCAAATCAACATTTGCCCCAAGTACTCTTTACTGTACACTGAACAGATGCGTGGACTACTTATTAAGATGTAAGGATTAAATCTATTTAAAAATGCTACTGAATGCATTGCCCGGTTTTATCTTTAAATATTCTCTTAATCAACAAATGTAAAAAATGACACTAAAGGGCCATTGTAAAAATTGTTAACATAGTTTCAAAAGGTAGGTGGAGCAGAGTGTGTAGAATGTGCTACTATTTATCCAAGAAGTAGTGATATCGATAAATATGGGAACATACTACTATATTTTATTGCTTTTAAAGAATAAACCATAAATATTTTAAAAATTTATTCTATAGAAGGGGACAAAAGGATGGAGATACAGAGGAAAGGAAAAAGACTGCTCTGAATATATTTTGGTTTATAGCTTTGCTCTTGAAAGCATAAAAATATTTTCACAAACAACTTGAAATATTAAAACATATGTTTCTAGAAATCAATGGTAAAATGAAATAAATGATCCTAGATATATATTGATTTGTGGCAGGATCACAAGGAAACAATTCCATTTAACTTTAAACATTAATTTGATTTATGTCCTTAGTAAAACATACTCTAAAAACAACAAAAAAAAAGAATATAGAACAGAAATAACAAGATAAATTATTTCTGACAATCATGTTATTGGCTATAGGGTTAGGGTGATTGTTCTGAGATTTAAAATTGATTAAATGAAAAATACCTCCTATATTCCAATTAAAAGTGTTTACATAAATCATATTTATTTTCAAAAATAAGACACTTTCTAGCTTTTTATAGTGAAACATTCTGGAAACAATGACCAACCCACCAATAGTAAATACTTTTAGAACTCACACTGTGGTCTCTTTGTACCATTTCTTCTAAATGCAACTGCAACTTCTTGGAGATACAGCTGATTCCAGGTCTGCAGCAAGAAACACACAAGGTGACCCTACAATATCTCATCATATCAGAAGCAAAGAGGCTATCAAAGATTGCTGGAATCATATCAAAGGAACCAAGAAGCTAACCTAACTTCTCACTAGTCAAAGACTGGACAATTTCAGTATAATAACTTATTATATTGAAATACACCAAACTTATATCCATGTCTCCATTAGAATAAGTAAAAAATGAATATCTCTTTGGTTGCTCAGGATGCCACATGACCAAGTCATCATTTACAAAGTGGATTCATGAGATCTGAGGATTTACCCTGACTTTTCTGTGTGAACCCTACCTTAGGGTATGTGAATGGCTGGTGAGAGGAAGTCCCCCTCAAACTAGACCAGGTAAGAAATTAAGAAGTAACTATGGAATGAGGGTTATCACATTTTGCAACTGCAGATGAAATCACAGATCTAGGAATAATCAGCAGCAGCTACTGACTGACCAGAAGTTGTGCTTCACAATAAAAGAATATAACCCCTCATATGGATCTTGAATTAAAAAATATGTCCAAAGCGCAGAAACATGTTCAAAGATGCCCTGTGGAAGTAGCTAGCTAAATGTGGGCAGTGGGAAACTAGAGCAGAGCTTCTCAGTGTGGTTCATACACCAGCATAAACATCATCTGGGAACTTGTTAGAAATGCGAATGTTCTAGCCCTACTGCAGACTTCCTGACTCAGGGTCTCTGGGGCCAAGGCCCAGGACTCAGTATTTTTATAAGCTAATCAAGTGATTCCTTTGCACGCAAAAATTCGAGCACTACTGATGGGCAGTACACACAACCTTGTTTCTTCAACAAATAGTAGGACCACTAGAAGGAAACCTATGGCATAAATAATTTTGTAAAATAACAATATGCAGTATATAAATTTTGTTGGGTTCCTGGCTTGAGCAACTTGTAAAAATCTTTTATGAGAGAAATGTAAACAAAGACTTGATATTTGATCTGAAGACATTATTAATTATTTAAGGACTGATACTAGTCTCCTGGTTATGTTTTGAAAGTGACCTTTTTTAAGTGATATACACTTAAACACTCATGAAATGATCTTATCGTTGAGATATGTTTCTAAATAATTTGAGACTGGAGGTGGGGATACACGTGAAACAAGACTCATTATGTCTTCCTAATTACTGAGGCTGTGTGGTGGGTATATGGGAGCACAGTATCATCCTCTACTCTTTTTATTTTTAATGTTCAAACTTTCCATGGTAAGATGGTTAGAACAAATTCCAAAATGTAATACAGCAAATGTGCCAAAATATTAACTAGTGTTAAATTTGATTGATTAGTGTGGATGTTCGACTTTCCTTCTATTTTTTATATTCTTGAAAATTATATCTTTTTTATACCCTTGAAGTTATGCTTCTTAAAAAGTTAAGAAAAAACTTCCCTTGAAAAAGATTGAAGTTCTCACACTTAAATTCTTTTTTGTTGCTGCATAGTATTTCTTTGTCTGAATGTATCTCAACTCATTTATACGCCCTTCTGTTTAATAGAAATGTGAGTCATTTCCAGTTCTTAACTCTTGTGAATGTAGTTGCAAGCCACTTCCTTGGGTATGAACCCAAGAGTAGACTCCCTAGCTCATAGGAGCAGCACATACTTACATTCAGTAGGGAACTGCTGAAGAGTCTCCAGTGCAGTTGTACCAACTCTCGCCCCACTGGCACAGTGTGGGAACCCCTGTTACTTCTCATTCTTGGGGACACTTGGGTTTGCCCCAGTTTTAACTGTTCTGGTATCATCCTGTCTTGGGACCCTCTGATATATCCTGCTCTCTATCAAGGTTGTACTCCCTCCTCTAATTCCTACAGAACCTTCTCCATATCTTGGCTATAACACACCACCTCTAGCAGAAGCACTGGTGTTCTGCTTATTTCTGCTCATTAGGATCTAAATGCCTCCAAGACAAGAACAGTGTCTTATGCTTCTTGGGATCCCAGTGTTTGTCATACTGTGTGACTTAAGCATTGACTGATCAAATGAATGAATGAGCTAATATTCTTAAAAGCTTAAAGTCTACTTACCTGGTATATATGGATTCCATAGCTGTAATTTGGCCTGATTCTAGAGATCCCAGGGACTAGAACAGTGGTGGCCTAGAACAGGCTGTTTGTCATTGAAAGCTCTGAAAGGGTCACCGTTGCTGGACTAGAAGATGTTTTCCATCTCCACAGCTTCTTTTGCATGGGATCTGGTGGGGTGAAGGAGCAAGATGGGCTGGAGGAGGAAGCTTCCATGTTTGGCACGTTAGTTACTTTTCTCATTGCTGAGTCAAAATATCTGACACCTAAAGTTAGAGGAGGAAAGTTTTATTTACCTCACAGTTTGTAGAGGTTTCAGTCTATAGTCAGTTGGCTCCAGGGCTGGGTGACATGGAAGAGGGCATCACAGAGAGGAAATCATCTATTGCTAGCAAGCAGGAGGCAGTGAAGCAGCAAGCAGCAGAAGCAGAAGCAGAAGCAATAAGCTTCTACACACCTTTTGATTGGTGCTACCAATACCCAGAGTGGGGCACCCTTAACCCCAGCATCACACCCTTAATACACATTCACACACCCTAATCCAGCCACCTTTGAAACTTCCCACCTATTACCGCATGAGGGATTTGAGGGACATTTAGATAAGAGCCCGAACAGCATCTAGTCTAGTGTAGCTCTGTTTTGAAAGATTCGCCTCTTCCCCTCAGGCTGTCATATTGTCACGATCACAGAGCACAGCATTTACATACTCTGTGTTTCCAGTTCTTGCCGAGGCCTGTAGTGGCCTCTGTGTGAAGTCCTGAGGGGCTGCAAACACTGTGCCTGCTCAGCTCCACCTCTGCCCAAGCAGTGCTCAGCAGGGACCTCCTGTTCTGGGCGCACACATCAAGAGAATTATCCCAGAGATGCCAGTTTGGATTTCTCTAATAGACATATCCACAGAAAGACT